ATTTTTTAAGCAAAAATTATCATTAGAATTATATTATAGTTTTAGCAACTAATACCGACCGATTTAATAAATTTTTATAAGTAATTTTTTGAAGTGAGAACGATGTATCTCATTTAATAATGAAGTAAAAATATTGTAATTTAACTTAAATTCTGTTAGAACGCAACTTTTATGAGCCAATCAAAAGTATTTATGGTCTAAATGTAAGATATGTAAATAGAGAAAAATACCAAGTAGCTGGACGGAAGCCCTGATACCAATACATAACAAAAGACCAAAGGACAATTGTGGTATGGTCTGTTCATAGATATAAGCAAGTGACCAATTGCTTTTGAATGGATTATCCAAGGGTGGTCATTAATATACAATCCAACAAGATTTTTATTAACAATTAAGGTAATTATTAATTAATTAATAATTAATTAATTAAGACCATAACTACAGATAGAGGCCACATTTCGAAATGGTAGATCGTGTGTCGACTATTTTCACCATGGTACACCATAATGAAAACATAGTATCAAGAAACCTGAAAAATATTAGAAAAATCTCTGGAAAAATACTGGAATTAGAGTTATCCAGCAACTGTATGAACACTCAACATCAAGAGTTAAGAAAGGAAATTCTCTGGATAGCTTCGAAGTTATAAAAACTTGGGACAGAGATGTTGCCTTTCCCCCACATTTTTAAAATATACTCCAAAGATGTGCTCAAGAATTGAAGAAAAACATAACGTAGGATGGACATAAAACTCAACCAAGATACCTATACGATTAGGTGAATGATTAGGTAGTAATTTCGTAGGATAAGGAAGATCTGGAATTACTGATTCGAAGACTGTTCAAGTACAACGAAGAGTGGGGCTTATCAGTAAATAAAACAAAACTCAACATATTCAAGAAACCATAGATACCTGTAGCTATCTAAGAACAAAAATCGATAAGAAAGGACGAAGAAAAAAAGAAATCAAGTATCGAATTATGAAAGAACAAGTGCTTGGCTATTATTTACATCTGGATTAAATAGTATTACAGCAACCTGTGGAAGTTTCTTTGAAAAAATTAAAGAGATTGGCTGTTTTAATTCCATTCTTTGATTAAAAACATTTCGTGAACACCTTGTATAAAAAACAGTTTTCTTAAGTATGACCCAATATAGATGTGAATCATTGCAGATCAATAAATCTCTGGGACGTGGACTGTTGGTACTAGAAATGGACACGAACGAGTCAGAAACAAAGTCTTTAGAGAAATAATGAACAAAGTACAAACAATAATAGATGAAACTAACATGGCATGGGTACATTAAAAGAATGATTGAAGAAGGGATTCCCAAACAAATAATGAAGTAAATGCTAATGGAAAGAAAAAAAAGGCGTAAACCAAAACAAACGTGGATAAGAGGAATTGAAAGAACAATGTTTAAACGTAATCTGCGAAGAGGCAGCAAACTGGAAATCGGATAGCGTAGAACGCTATAAAGAGCAAATAAACTTTTTTAATGTTTTTTTTTTACCCTAGAATTAAGTGGAACTTTTTTTGATAAATTGATTTTGGTGTTTTTTGGCCCAAAATAAAAAATATTTTTTTGTTTTATTACCACTTCCTTACTTCCTTAAAGTCGTTTTCGCATAATTGCTTTTCCTGATTAGTAAAAAAAAACAGTTTTATATTAATAAATATTTTAATTTAATTGTGAGAATTTCATTTAATCTGGAACATCTGTGATAAAGATTCCCAGTACGTTCGCAGAATGGCCAGGTCTTCAAATGTCAACCGTATGCAAATTTTTATTCTGTTCCTTCAACAAGCGCAGCTAATTTAAAACCGTCGACCTTGGCGGAACATCCCTTTCGACAAAAGGGTAAATATTTAGGGTTAGCTGCAATTCTTTTCCTTATTGCGGCAATATCTCTGTACACCATGTTGCGTAAAGAGTTTATAAAAGTGGAGCAATAAAAATATACCTAAGTCTACGTAATATCTACGGAAGGGTTTGCGAGAACTGGTTAAATATTCGGTAAGATGACTTAACAACCCCTGTCGTTTTTGTCACGGACAAGATTGTGTTCTTAGAATTTTGCTGTGTTTACGTCACTGTCGCAACTTATTTTGAATTCTCAAATATTTTATTAATAATTTCTAAAAGAGATAAATAAGAACTAGAAGTAAAGATTTTCACGAAATTATATAAAGGCACGGTGTTGACGAAACAATTGTGATGTGAAAATATATAATTTCGTTAAAATCTGAACTTTTAGTTTTTATTTATTTTATTAAATGGATTTTCATCAAGTAAAAGCCACCTCAAATCAATATCTAAAAGAAATGGCGAGATTAAAATAACCTGCGTGAATCAGGGACGAGAACGCAGTGATGGTCGTAAATTACCATATTCCTCTTATAAGGTAATAGTTTAAAAAAATATTTAAATTATACATGGAGTTTCGCAAAAGCCTGGCATACATATTTTTAAATGGAATACCCTATACAGTGTGTCCTAGCGGAAAAACTATTAATAGCAGAAATTTGACAATGGGAAATTAAACTAACACCCTATATATTATTGCTTTTTGGATTTCCTGACATATTTTATGTATAATAACATATATTTAAATTTAAGAGTTTCAGAGAATAAAATTTAAAATCAAATGGATTACAGAGCGAATGGAAAGTGTATACGAGGATAGAGTTGGTGTCTGCCACTGCTAGTTTTTGTCACCGGTCACATTTTATCCCTAAATTAGCAGACGTTGATGCTTTTAGGTCTTCTCAACTCAATTCCATTCAATGTATATAAAACATGATTATTTTTACTTGACAATGTGACAATATTAAAATTTTATATCAAAAATTACTTTTGCACGTCTGCTTTAAAATATGAATCTGTTATTAATTTGGGTTATAATTTCTAGAGAAATGGAAAGGAAAAGGAACTTCGAACTGCTAATTACTCTATAACGCTATTTAAGTAAGCACTTTATATTAAATAAATAATGTGTATCTTTACTTTATTTTGAGAAATTAACTGCCATGGTTTTTAAAGGCTTGCTGCTTTTTGCTGCTTGCTGCCAGTTTTAGTTTGTCAAAACAATTTAGCAGTAACATATGTTATGCTTTGTTTGACATACGCTACTTGAGTCGCGAGTTCGTTTCGGTACGTTTTTTTCTACAAAAATTAGATTAGCTACAAAGAGAAATCAAATTTGTATATTTAGTGTATTAATTTGAATAGAGGAAATTTTGCACCATCTTGATGATGTGATCTACTTAATTTTAATAATATTAGGTTACATAATTAAAAATCGATTTGGAATAGGTACTACGACAACAAATGCTATCAGACCGTATATTGACCATCCTATATTTTTCTAGATATTGCAATGGTTTTCTTCTCATGCTACATTTCACCCACTAAACTGCACTTTGCGTCGTTTTCCTTCTAAACAGTATCCATACTGTTAACTCATTTTTGAATGAAGATTTAATGGGATCTAGGCACCTTTTGAGAAAAGACTGCTGAATAAATATCGCATCCAGGACTATGTGTTATCATAAGTTTCAGTATTATCAGCATTAGGCAGGGCCTCTATATCACCAGTAGCTATACGGATCCCCCAAGAAAACTTATTTTCCAAATATGAAGTTAAAAATTTTACACTCCATCATATCAATTGTTATATTATCGATTAATAGTTTTCACGGCCATATACGTATCGTCCAGTAAATTCTAGTATTGTTGTCTTTTCGTGGCGACAATCTTTTTTTCAATATTTAATGAAAGTATGTATGAAAATTTATTATTAACCTCTTCTACTGATTTTCCTGTTATCATGGCTGCCATATCTTCTTATTACGTATAGAGGTTGCAGTCTTTCAATGCATTTGACAAGTCATAACAAGATTAGAGGACCAAGGATTCCATTCCACCTTGGAGGGGACCTAAACTTACTCGAAAATTCCTACTACTAATTTTACATTAAATTTCAGTGAGACCACATGTAATAGGTATATGGGTCAGCTATTACTTAGGGCTTCAAATATACAAACAAAATTCCAACCACAATTTCAAATTCATCAAAGCTATTATGTATAAAAGGTACAGAAAACAACCCAGGTTGGTCCACTTATATGGATTTGCTTACAAAATGGCAGTCATATCTTGTTTTTCATAAAAATGTGCCAAATTTGTTTTTCCCCGTACTTTTAATATGAGCTTTATTTAGTTGAGTTAAATTAATACATTTTAATTTATGAGAGGTGCTATCTCTTTTTAGAATATGTTTTATTCATACATACAGTGCGTCCCGCTTAAAAATTTTAAAATCTTTGTTTATAGTTCGATTGTGATTGCTCGAACTGGTCGCCTCGCTTTTGATCATTCCATTTAATTAAAAAGGATTTTAAATTCTAATCTAATAATGAAAGTAATAGAAACAACAAAATTGATTTATTAAACTGAGGCAGCTTTTATTTGATGAAAATCCATTTAAAAAAATAAATAAGAACTAAAAGTTCAGATTTTCAGGAAATTATATATTTTCACATGACAATTGTTTCAACAACACCGTGTCTTTATCAAATGTCATATAATAAATTTTTATATAATTCATTAATTAATTTATTAATATTAATATTTATTTTGAAAATTGATTAATTTTCTAATTCAAATGCAAATAATTCGCTGCCAATTTATTCTCTTTTGTTTGTTCTCTTTTGTAAACCCCAGTTGACCAGGATAGTAGGTCAAAACAAGGGTATACAGTTTTTAAGTGGGACACACTGTAATATATAGGCACAAATAAGTACAAATTAATACAGCTCAGGCTATGACTTTATTGTTCGGAAGGAAATGATCCAGGTCAAACTATACGAGGGTATTATTTAAGCAAGGGCGTGAATTTTTTTTTATCACCCGACGACTGGTAAAGAGTTATCGCGCAGCTTCGATCGAATTTAATATACCCAGTCGTGTACTTTGATATGAATTTTTGAACCAATATGGTCGATCTCAATCGAGGATCAAGTCTCGTGTTTCGGGAACAGGTTAAAAAAAAACCATCCAAGTGTGACAAACACGACAAACGTTACCGACAGATCGCCGAGGAACTGTTTGAAAATTCATGCTGCGCGTACCAGAAAAGAGCGTCGGTACGTAACTTTCAAGGTGATTAAATGTATTGAAAACGTAAGCTTCACACCACGGATTAGTATGTTATCAACGGTATCAACTTTACGAAAAGGCTGCGGCAGCGTAACATTTTGTGTGAGCATATTCTTATTCCCTAAAGGTGCGAAAGGGTGCTCCGGATTTCTTACGGTATGGGCTCAGTCCATTGTTTACTACTTACTACTTGTTCTGAGATTTAACGCTATATTTAGTGTAGATTACATACTTTCTATGGTTTTGTTAGTTTCTGTTCAAAACAAAATAGTTAGCCTGTTTTGAGCAGAACGCAAGAGGCGATTACGTGTTTTTGCCAAGGTCATTTTATCGCTGTTCAAATGTCCACAATTTGAATCTCCGAAGACGGGGTCTCCTTAATGCGTCGAAAAGAGCATTTGAAATATGAAAATATCTCTTTAATAGATTTTTCTAGAACGCTATTGGCCCTCAAAAATAGGTTGAGAAAAAGGCTTGCAGCTAAGCAAAATGCATACTAGCAAAATTTCATCTTAATTTCTAACAAATTAAAACTTAAATTAAACACTTCCGTGCTTTGATTACTAACCAGTGTCACTCCAAGCCTTGTATATTGTCTTCAGTTATTTTAACGAATAATTTTGGCTGTAACAGATTTTTTTGGGTCAGATATCTAACTTTTCTATATCTATCGTATACAACGGTTAAAGCAATGAAGCAATTTATTATTAACTATCTCGTTTCTGGATTCCAAACAATTTCAAGGCATATTTGAGACTTGGATTTCGAAAATTTTATTAGGTCCAAATCTGAATGTTTGTAACGAGTGATTCAATAAGCGTTTCCACATTACAATCTGAAATATTTTTGAAACGCCACTGAATTTATATACAAAATATAAACAAAATTAGTCATGAAGCAATATACGACTGAACAACGCGTAAAAATTGTGCAAGCCTATTATGAAAATGGTCGATCAAGAAAAAATGCATTTCGGGCTCTACGTGAATTTCTCGGCGCGCAAAATCGACCTTCTGATAGGACAATTTGGAATGTGGTTCAGAAATTTGAGCAAACTGGATCTGTAACTAACCTCAAAGTCCCTCAATGTGCTCGTACAGGTCGGTCAGATCAAAATATTGCCATTGTTCGCGAAAGTGTAGCCGAACATCCAAACATATCGATTCGTGATCGATCGCAGCAAGTGGGCCTTACGTATTCAACCGCACAGCGAATTTTAACAAAAGACTTGCATCTACACCCATATAAAGTCCAAATAACTCAGGAGTTGAAACCTCGAGATCATCAACAGCGCCGCCTGTTTGCAGAATGGATACGAGAACAAGGGGTTCATTTTCACGTTGGTGACTTTGTAAAAAAAAATCCAAAAGAGATTGTTCAAAAAGCAATGCATCCTCAAAACCTGACTGTTTGGTGCGCCTTTTGGTGCGGAGGAATAATTGGGCCTTTTTTTTCGAGGATAATGCGGAGAACGCTGTTACGGTTAATGGTGTTCGCTATCGAAACATGATATCTGATTTTTTCTGGAAGCAGTTGGAAGGTATGGACATTGAAGATTTGTGGTTCCAACAGGATGGAGCCACTTGTCACACATCCAGAGAAACGATGCAATTGCTGCGGGGCAAGTTTCCTGGTCGGATTATCTCACGCATATTCCCCAAGATTTTTTTTTGGGGTATCTAAAAAGCAGAGTGTATAGAAATAAACCAAACACTATTCCAGAGCTGAAACAGGAGATTAGACGCGAAATAGCCGGCATAGAACCTGAATTGTGTCAAAAAGTGATAGGAAATTTCAATAAACGAATTACGTCATGCCACATGAGTCGCGGGGGTCATTTGAATGATATCATCTTTCATACCTAATTGTAATACACTAATCTAAAATGACAAATAAAAATGTTTGTATATTTTTATATTCTTCCGAGTTTTTTTTTATTATTTTAATGTGGAATCCCTTATTGAATCACCCTTTAGAATAAAATTTTTGTTTTTATGAGTTTTCAAAGGTCCCGATTAACCCAGCACTGTCAAACTTAAAAATCGAAGGTGTTAAAAGGGACAGTTTTTAATGCACGAAAAAGGGAAAAAAATTATATAAACAGATTGCAAAAGTAACCCCGTACTTGTAGATTATTTGAAAAAACGTTTATTTTATTATAAAAATTTATAAGTTAGTACTCAAAGATCGTTTAGTTATAATACTCCCAGTGTCTTTAATTCCCTACTACCCGACATCAAATTCCCTGCAAACATAACCATCTTTAAGAATAAATTAAAAAATCATCTTTTAATCCGTCACAAGCTTGCATAAGATCTCTAATTATTGATATTTCTCTGACGCCTGCCTTCTCCTTTCATTTATTTGTTTATATTTTTAAGCACTGCTAAGCGTTTCTTTAAATTAGGATGTTTGTATAAGTGCAGCCTAGTTGGATACCATCACTCATTATGTAATAATATTTCCAGAACTACAGTCTAAATAATTAAAGACGTTTTTATTTATTTGTTCCACATTTAATTGGTGCATCCGATAAATAATAGCCGGCGTTGTAAGAGAATGTAGTAGGTATATATTGTATTATGTTTGTGATTTTGGTTTTAGTTTGATGATACCATTTGAGGCAACGTTTTATAAATTATATTAATGTTTTGACTACTACTTTAGATTTTGTTACTTTTATGTTTTACCTATATATATCCTCAGTATCTGAGAGGACGGATGAATTTTTCAATGTATTATTAAGTTTCTGTAAAATTTTACATTCTAAGCTCTTCTGTCAGCCGCCGAGATAGCTGCATTGCAATGAGCAAGATAGAATGTCACCACTTAAAAATAGAACTGGTTGTCAGACTAGGGAAAAACTGAACTAGGCGAGGTAAAAGAAGATAATCTAAAAGTTTAGATGAGCTAGAAAAAGACATTTTTAAATAATAAACAGCCTTTCAGATTATTATTTACAAAAATTCTGGATTCCTCCTGCGTCTGTTGTTGTTGAATCGAAGTAGCTAATGTTTCGATAATCATTCTGTTGGCTTCTTCAGAGCTTAACTGTCTTGTAATTTCCTTTATTTTCGGGAATCGGTTGCTTATAAAAACAAATAGTATAAAACCAATTGAATACTGGGGTGTTCCAGGGCTAGCGGGTCTGCAGTGAATTTAGTGATACGTTTATCAACAGTGAGTCCCTCTCAAAAGGGGTCATCACACCGTTCAGCAGTATAGTTTTAACAAAATTTTTGATTTTATGATATTTAGCAAGTATCGTAGCAAGCCTGTTAATTTACATATTTCGTCAAATGATGTGACTTTGCAGATCATTCAATTTGAAAAAAATTGACACGAGCTCAAGATTCCCAAACCATGTGTCAGTGGTGTTGCAAAAATGTCATTTAAAACTAAAGTTCCTATTTGGGGACTTGTGATTTAACCTATCATCAAGTTTAGTTGTAGCGTTCCATCATATATCGCAACTATATCCTGAATGTAATTGGTTACGCAAAATATATGTAAATATATTTTGAATATAGGTACAAATCTAGACGCAAAAAATACTATTCATATTTTTTGGTGTTTATTTACTTACAAGGCTGTAACAATTTTTAATTCTCTACCAGTCCAGATTAAAAAGTCCTCAACGGTATTCTCATTTAATACGGCTCTTCATGAATAATTGTCAGACTAATCTTGAAGTACAAAAAATTTAAGTTTTTGTTACATAGTTATGAGCTGTGGTTTAAATGGCCATTTTTTGTTCTCACTTAACTGTATTTTGCTTTGACGTGCTCAAATAAAGGCATTATTTATTGGCAGCGCGATTATGTTTATTTCATTCGTCATACTTTTTATTAGTTTTCGCTATAGATAAAAACTAAATGCAATAAGAAATTTGAATATAGGGTTTAAAACATTGTCAAATTCGGCAAATTCGGAGTATAGAATCTGCTCATTTTTCGTGAGGCGTCAAATAAACCAGTACATCCTCGTTACTGGTTCAGTCGTGCGATGAAGCGTGTAATTTTTTCGACAAAGCGCGCGTACGCAAGACTCCCAGTTCTTTTACTTGAGCCTCAGACTACCTGTACATTGTATCTGCCCACATCCTTCGGAGCACGACGAGAACGTATAATTAACATATTAAAATAAACATCTGAATCTCTTTGCAACGAACTTTTTCTTTTTAATTATGTCAACGGAGAGGATCTATTCAAAAGCGTTTTAAGTTAGATTTATGGAATATAAATCAATTAATATAGACTTATCTTATGTTGTTCTATCTATTCACAGGCAATTTCTAAAATGATAAAAGCGGGATATCCTCTTTCAGACAACCAATTTTTCACGCATTTAGGACTTTTCGGGTGATCCAACTAAGCCATAACATTATTAACATAAATTGCACCATGCGTATAGTGCGTTTTTTTCTTATATTGTTTTGGGTATATTTTTTTACTAACTCGAAACACATTTATTATCAATGAGCTGGAACTGATACTAAAACTTTTAACTTGACGAAAGACTACGGTTTTGTTGGCACCCCAAACAAGATCTGGCAGATGAAATGCACTAGCACCAATTGCAATTTCAAAAACTGAAGATACATTCTGCTGCCATAGGCTGAATATTCTCCATTTTCAAAAAAAATATTAGATACCTGAATAGGCTACCTTGGAGTAAATAAGAAAAAATAAAATAACAAACAACGAAAGTAAATACTTCCAATCGGCAATTAAAATACTGTGTGTCATCAATATGCTATGGCTTTCCTATGAAATTCTGCAATAATAACGCGGTAAACATAAGAGAGTTTAGAAATCACGGTGCAAAATAAATGTCTACAATTTTAAGAAAATATGTTTTTTGTTTAATAGGAGACAAACGATATTTTAAACCCAAAAAAATAACCATAAAGCTGGAAAATATTGATGTGTTATGTTTATTAAATTGTTCTTTTCTGCTTTCTCAGCTTTGTTAACGATTAGGATTC